GTAGTTGATTATGATGATCATTGAATTTGATGTTAAATTTCACTATTTTGACATTTTTATTATTAACAGATGGACAATGTAATTTAGGACTTTATATTATTTCAATTTGACATGTCATTTTTTATTTTTGTGATCATATTTATCAATCATAATATATATTTTTAAAATTTTAATATTCAAGAGAGCCTCGCTTTGCTGAGGTGAGCGCCTAGGTGAGTGCCTAATACCTCACGCATTTTGGGACCTTGACGCCTACTGTGTTTAAAAAGGCTATTCATAGGAGTTCTTGAACAACCACTCAAATTTAATAAGTCTCAAGAGAATTCTTGTATAGTTAGAACTATTGATGCAGAACAAGCAAGGAGTGCATATTCCACATTTGACTTCCATGTTATCAAGAACAAGTATAGTAGTTTTGATTTGTTTCTCTATCCAAAGAAACTAGTGTAGAAACTTAAGATTATGAAGATTGTCATTGCAAATGAAAGAAACAAAGAAAGAAAACTCTACTGTTGAAAAAGGAAATCATATCCTAAATAAGAATAAAATGTGACAATCACAAATTTGGTAGAGTTGATCTGCAGATTCGATGCGTAGTATGAAGATGCCAAGCATATCCATTCATATAACATTGCTATCCTAACCTTGGAATGCATTCAATTTTGTCTTTCTCCCCATGGTTTTGAAATTCAGCAAAATTAACTTTCATGATATCTTATCACCAAGATGTTGCAGTGAGTGATCACAAAGAAAGTTGTCTGTACTTACCACATGAATGTAGATTACTACTGATAAATAATCATGATTGCATGTATCAGTCTTCCTTTTAGATATTATATCGATATTGATTATGATGGTTTAAACGCAAGGATTTATATTCATGTAATGCACATCTGTCTATCTAATGCAAATAGACCCCTCATCTCCTGTAAGAGTAAGAACACCTACCTTGCAATGGTGATTACACCATCACATCTCAGATTCTGGCATTGATGCATTTAAAAGTGGTAGTAATCTTCCATAATGCAACAACATAGAATGCAAAAGGTTGTCAAAAGAAAATTGGTGAGAAGATTGAGACCAGATGCCACAGTGCAAGATTTAAAATGCTGCAGAACACTAACCATATTCAGATAATTTGCATGGAGCAGAAGGAAAGCAAGAGAAGCTGTCTTAACCAGCACCAATGCTATATTTTATGCTTCCAGGATTCTAGGACTTCAAGAAAGTACATAAATTTCTTTCTTAATATTTCATTGATTGATGAAAAGAAACAGATACATCCATCTTTATAAAGTTCCACTCAAGTCCACCAGGGCTTGGACTCTTAATAATAAATAAATATTAAATAAACTCCTATCCGACTCTTACTGAACTAAACAAATTCAATCAACATTATTCAAAAGCTTAGAAAATAAAATGATCCTAATATTTCCTCCCCCTTTAAATCAACCTTGTCCTCAAGGTTGAGTAGCATCAAACTTAGGGAGCTTCTTTTTCAGCACTTCAGTCACATGGTATTTGCGACGCATCACAACCCGTTGATCAAGTAAGTACGATCGCCACTTCTTGATAGTGTAAGCAATAGGCCGACCTTTCAGTGTAGTAGTTATTGTAGTCTTCTGGAGAACCCTCTCCATCCGATGACTAGTGGTAGTTGTGACCTTACTTCCACGTCTTCCTTTTAAGATCATCTGCTTTCCATTAATAAAAAACTTCATGATTAGTTTAAAAAAATTCCAAGAAACATCACCCAGGGTTGATAGTCATTTAATTCCAAGCACCACTTCGAAGTCTTCCAAGAGTAGCAAAAAGAAGTCCACAAGCAACTCTTGGCCATGTATAATCAATTTTATCTTCAAATATTTGCTATCACAAGTTAAAATCCGTCCATCAGCGACCTTTACTTCGAATTTGTCACAGCCTTCAATGTGATAGGTCAATCTGTCAGCAACCTTACTGTCCATAAAATTGTTAGTGTTACCAATATCAATTAAAACTGTAACATGCTGATGTTTCAAAATTCCTCCAACTTTCATAGTTTGTGGGTTAGAGTAGCTGGCTAATGCATGAATTGTATGTATGATAGGTCTAACATCTTCATCAGAATCTATACCTTCATGATCGGAGTCCACATTGTTAGCTTCTGGTTCCTCCCCAATTGGTTCAATCATCAGAAGTTGTCATTATTTATATCGATGCTCCCTACTCCACTTTTCATCACAGTGCCAACACAAACCCTTCGTTGATCTTTCCTTGAGTTCTTCTCGGGTTAGTCTTCGGGTGTTAGGGTTCCGACTAGAAATAGATGGGTGGGTGGCTTGCTGATCATCTGTTTGTTGTCACTTTTGTTTCGACGATTTTCCCTGCTAATTTTTTTCTCATGTAAACGTGCAAATGATATTGCGGCTGTCATAGTACGGGGTTGGCGAGCTTTGACTTCACACCGGATATATGGATTAAGTCCTTCGATAAATGTACCTACCAGTTATCGTTTGAACCAATCTGTGGCTTGATTTGACAATTGTTCAAATCTACTATGATATTCTAACACGGTGAAAGTCTAACGAATTTTAGCGAGCTACCCATCAACATTCTCGTATTCAGATGGTCCAAAGCGAATAAGAAGTCCTCTCTTGAATTGCTCCCATGAGGGAACCCTGTGGTAGGTTTCGTATCAATCATACTATTGGATTGCATCTCCATCTAGTTGGATTGAAGCTATTTCTATCTTGGATTCTTTTGGAATTCTGCGAAAATGGAAAAATTTTCTGCCCTAGAGATCCAACTAGTCGGATCTTCATCTTTCCATCTTGGAAATTCCATCTTCATGCGTGGGTAGCTTGTGTCCTATTCTTGGTTCATATTTCCTGTGTCTCCAGATCGGTTCAATGTAAGACTTGAACTTTCATCTTGTTGAAACTTGTTGAAACCCTCCAATAGACATTTTTAAAATCGTTAAGGATTTCTTGTAGCCGGTTCTCAATTCTGGTTTCCAAGGCTTCTAATTGGGCTTTTACTGAGTTATCGGTAGCAATTACGTAAGACTACAGATCTGTAATCTCCAATTCCTGTTTTTGGTGTCGAGTCAAGGGCATCAGTACTGCACTATTCGGTGCGGCTGCTGTGAAGTTTAGCCTGGGGCAACGTTCGGGTGAGAGCGCTGCAGTCGCTGCGAGGAGTCGACGTCGGCGTGAGGAGTGGTTTGTTGGTCGGGAACAGCGGCGACAGCCCTTTCTCGCTCAAGCAGGATGGGGCGTAGCTGCCCTCACGCTGCTCTCGGCTAGGAGGCGTGCTGCTGAGGGCTGGGAGGCTATGTGCAGTTGTTGAGGGCTGGGTGGCTGCGGTTGGAGGGTGGCTACGATGGAATGAGGGGGAATGGTTGAGTGGTAGAAGATGTAGAGGATGGTGGATCTAGTGGTTGCGACTGCGACCCAAGGGGAGGCAACGAGAGTCGTGGCTAGGAGGCGGGCGGCGGTGGTCACTGGTTGGGAAGCACCGACGGCGGTGGTGGCAACCAGCGACTGCGACAGTAGAGGGACCGACGGCCGCAGTGACTGCGGTAGTTGCGGTTGCCTTGCTTCACCTCTTTTCTTCCTTTCCTGCTGCGGTGGCAACCGGTGGCTATTGTGGATGCCGGTGGAGAAGGGGAAGCGATGGTGGCACAGTTGGGAACAATGCTCCGTTTCTGCCGCTGTGAGAAGAGAAGGTTGTTGCCAGGGTTGAGAGGCAGCAGTGGCGGTGCCACTGGGAGCAGTGTCACCGAGGGTGAGGAGCAGCAAAGGGTCGCCGAGGGCGAAGAGTAGTAAAGGGTCACCAGATGGGGGTGGTCCACTAGCTAGGAATAATGACGGCGGCCTTTTCTCGCTCGAGTGGGATAGGGAGCACGGTTGGAGGGCTGCTGCAGCGCAATGAGGGGGGGTGCTAGCGGGGAAGCAGCGGCGGCGGTGGTCGCTGACCGGAAGCAGGGGAAGCAAGGGCGAAGCCTCGCTCAAGAAGGATGTGGCTGCGGCGGCCCTTTCTCGCTTCTCTTACTCTTTTTTTATATATATATATGATGATAACTGCGATGAAGTGTTGTGAGAAATTGCAGCGAGAATGCCGAGGATCACTGCTCCGATACCAAATGATAAGACCCCTAGGGTTTTATTGTAGAAGAAGAGGGAGAAAATGGATGATTACTTCGAGGGGATCGGCCTCCTTGATCACTTTGAGGGGATCGATCTCCTTGGATTTGTCAAAAGACTAGATAATATTTCATTGATTGATGAAAAAAAACAGATACATCCTTATTTATAAAGTTCCACCTAAAATCCACCAGGACTTGGACTCTTAATAATAAATAATTATTAAATAAACTCATATCCGATTCTTACTGAACTAAACAAATTCAATAAACACTATTCAAAAGCTTAGAAAATAAAGGAATCCTAACACAATGTTAGTCATACAAATGTCACGTCCAAATAGGACATATAAAATTATATATAAGATATTTTAAAATCTCAACTGCTCAATTATTTTAATAAGCTAGCTGATGTTCCTAATCATATGATTCTTAAGCAAATATATGTAGGACTCCAAAAAACAATTACAATGTGATCCTAAACAAATAAAAACTGAGTCAAAATAGATCTAAGCCTAGACCCAAAATGATTCAATCAAATCTTAATTACAAATCCAAAGCTAACCTGCTAAATTTTAGCTTGACTCAAAACCCAACTCTATCACTATCAGTTAGTGGTGTTACTAACTGGCATGTGCCGTAGCATTTCTAGAAAAAAAAATTTCTTCAATCACTTCAATTAGGATTATGCAAATAATTAAGCAACCAGATTAAAATTTATGAAAGATAAATACTTCAGTACATGTTGCATCTTAAGAAGTGGTATAATAACATCAACCTGACTGATCATCCCATTCTCCTAAAAACTAATACAATGTCAATTATGTTCACAATAATAAATTAAAAAGTAAATGATTAATGGGAGAATATATACTTGCCCTAGCACCGTCCAGGTTCCAGAATCTGGTACAAGACAGCTACGAAGAAATTCAGCATCTTTAATGATATTATCTGCCCGAAAATGTTGCAAGTACTCAACCAATTTTGTTGCAGACATGATTTGTGAAAGAGATGAGACTGTCAAAGGAGTTGATAAACCAGTTCCTCGCTGAGACAACAATCATACAAGATGAGAACTATAAAGTGAAACAAAGAATCTACAGAAGAATGAAATTCTTTGGGACTCAAGATCATGCCTGATCAAGCAAAACAACTCTATACTCTTCACATGCTCTCTTCAACCATCCACTAGCCTCAGTAGGCCGAGGACTCTCAAATCCAGGTCCACCTTGTAGGTACAATAAGTATGGCAGTTGTTCTTCTTCTTTCCCAACTGCAACATAAATGCATATTTCAAACTGGAGATGAATAAACATAATTTTTCAGACTTCAGACTTAAATAGCATATTTCAGGAAAGAGACCGGTGTTTACTAAATGGCCTATGTGTGGAGACCTCACAACAGCACCTAAGATTGGCCTGCCTCTTACCCTAAAGCCAAATCAGAAACTAAACCCTCCAAAATCGAGGAACGATTAATCAGCCAGATTTACTTCGAACCACTAACTGCATCGAATAATTAGCTGTTCTACATTTCTTGGACTTTACATCTCCAAAGCAAACCATTCCTGCACTCGAGCCAACCCCCTATTTCATGTTTAGGACGGCTAGCTATCGCTCAGGCAGAGTGACATTTGTATATCCTCTAGAAATTAAAATAACAATAGAACACAAGATGTAGTGGATTGGGATACGACCATTTATTAAAACCTAACTAGACAGAGAATTAAAGATCAAGACGAGCGGCTCGTAGATAATCTGGCACGGAAACATTACCAGCGACGACCTCGCGAGCGAAGACGGTGATGCTAGAGCCGGCAGCGGCGGAGTAATCGAGGGGGACGGTGAAGCGGTGGTCACGGAGGCTAAGATCTGGGACGGAGTACCAATCCCCGGCATCGTGCCGCTCCGGGGCAGCGACGGAGGCCACGGCCATCGAAGAGATCCGAGGTAGCGGGAGGCGGCAGGGGGAGGGAAGGCCGAGGCCGGGGGCGAGGGACAGACCGCGGGCCGGCGGAGGTGCCAAGGACGGGATCGCTTTTCGTGGCGACGCGGAGAGGAGGAGGGGTAGGGTCGTTCGAGCCGACGCCGCCGCGCGCATCGAATCTAAAAGCCGGGTTGGCGATGCGATCATCGAGTTCGTCACCGCCGCTCGCGGAGCCAACGCGTCGCCCCGCCCACCGGATTTTGGATTCACGTAGCCCAATCCGTTTGCGTGTATAGGCCTACTTTCGTCACTCTACCCGTGTCGGAGCCCATGAGCGGTGCGCGACTCCTTATCCCACATTTATTACTCTTATCTCATGCCAAACATCTTAAATAAAATAAAATAATCTTATATATATATATATATATATATATATATATATATATATATCAATTAATGATCTTTATATTTATACAACTTGACAAAGGATATCGCAGAGTCAATTTGATTCGAGATTGATAAGAGAAGCGAATAGAAGTCAATGTAATTATCTACAAAACTTAAATTGGAAGCACAACTGACAAAGGTCTTTTTGATACTCAAGTTTATGTGCCAAAAAAACCTATCTAGAAGGCTTTTATAGGTAAAATACGTAACCACATGTATTTTTTCGATAGTTTCATCCGATCAATGATTTAGATGTGGAGTCAAATAATAAAAGTATTTTTAAGTATAAAAAATATTAATGTATTAAATGATAATTAATCATATATTATATCACCGCTAGACTAATGTTTAAAATATAAACATATATTAAATAAGATTTTGTAAGTGTTTGTATATCACCTTTGTATATCACCGCTAGACCAATGTTTTAGATATAAAATATATTAGACAAAATTTTTAGTTTTCAATCTTTGTTAAGTGAGTCTTGTACATTATCACAAAAAGTGAGTCTTGTACACTATCACAAAATAAATATTTAAGGCATGTCAAATATGAATGTTAGCCTCCTATACTGAATGTGCGTCCCACTAATGTTCATGCATAAGACTAACTAGATGCCCAACTTAGTAACATACAAGGTCTATATGTCATTTTTATATATCATTTACTCTTTATTGCATTACAAACAAAGGATATTGGGACACAATGTTTTCATTGTAATTCAGTGGTGTTTCATGATAAGCTTGATCGTATTATAAAGTTGAGATGCTTTATGATCATAGACTCCATCGCTTTGTGACTAAATTCAATCACTTCAAGGTCCAATTTGACTACATCATAAAAAGAGTTGTTTCACGGTTTAATTCAATTGTGTCATTGGAAAAGGGATACTTCATGACCTTATTCAATCACATCATGAAAATGAGATACATAATGACCTAATTCGATTGTTTTGTGGAGTAAGGATGTTTTCGAGTCAAACTTCGTTGCATCATGGATTTTATCATTTTCTAGTCGTTAACTGTTCTAATAATCTTTGATAGATACAATTTGCTTTGGGTACAATTCGATTCAAATTTTAAAATTTAATATCACTTTTCTATTCCTCATCTGATCCAATTCTAATTCTAATAATCTGAAGTTTAATGTCACTTTTCTAATGCTTAATCTTTTGCATCTAATCACCTTATGCCACGTTGCGCTTTTTTAGCTTGAATCGACGAGAAAACGATAAGTTGTGTGGTGAAGGTTGGGCAGTGTTCGGCTCTTATAAAGGGGATAGTTGACCATTGTGTCCTCTTTTAGAACTTAAACCCTTTGAGCTCTCATATTGTCAATAGAAACCTTTTAAAATCATCCCAGTCCAACGTGGCTTCATTTCCCTTTCTCATGATAACACTATATCAATGAAGTGAAATATGGTCAAATCAATACTATGAATTTTGAGTATCACATATAAATATACATAATATAGTTGTAGCTAATTTTCAGGTTATTATAAGTTAATTATTAACTAAAATGTTAATTTATATTAATAGCAACATATATAACCCTATAAAGTTGTTGATCTTTATATTTAGATCTTTAAATTTGAATGTGCCATATATTATAATCAACTATTCCTTAAAAGTTTAATTTTTAAGCTTATATATTTATTTTTATAGAAGTAACTAGAGTGACATATTATAAGTTTTTTAAAAATAATTATCATTCATTATATTAAATAAGGTGTATAAGACACTTTAACTTAGACTAGACCAATAAACTATGCAAGAATGTATTAAACATTAGGGAAAATATTTTCCACTAGTAGTGACTTGACATGTGGTAGCACATATGGTAGCTGGTTAATAATTAGATGACAAGACTTGCCATATGATTTGCCCATGTGGATCTCAATCCAAAAAACAATTATTTGAGGTTGTACCCATCTAATATTTCATGAAATATTCTTCATCTTTTTACCTATCAAAATATTCATTTTCCACGTGATAATTAAGGTTAATTATTTTTTACTAATTTTATCATATCCACTTTGGGACTAATTTAAGTGTCAGAAGGATTAGATCGAGAAACTCATCTAACTTCGATCTTCGTGTATGTCATCCCTAGAGCAATTGAGCAAATTCATTTCAACCCCTGAAAGAGTACTAGTGACACCTCATGTCAGGAAAACTTGGGTAGAGCATCATATGTAGTGGAAGCACAAAAAATAAAAATCTTAGATTTTTCGTAAAAAGGTTATTGTCATCGTGTAAAAATTGATGTGTGAAAAATTAAAAATCGAAAAACTACGTGTATGTGAATGATGTGTTACTTAGGGAGATCGTATATCCCTGAAAACTTTCAGATCTATAAGAGAGGATAAAGGAGGTCAACTATCCTCCTCTGGTAGTGATCTGGGAGGGGGGGGGGGTGAATTAGTGCAGCGGAAAATTTTTCGATTCTCGTATAAAACATTTCGTACGTTCGAAGGAATCGATTTGGAAAGATAGTAACTTTAAAACATAAGAGAGCATAAGTGTAGTGAAAGTAAGACGAGGAGAAGAAACACTTTGCTATGAAATGATTTGCAGAAAATTGCTCAAAATGAAATGCAAACCAGATTTAGAGTGGTTCGGTCAACGTGACCTATATCCACTTTCAGATTCCTCCTCCAACGAGGTCTCCGGCATCCACTAAATACCTTTCTTCAATAGGTAATGACCGAACACCTCTTTATAGCACTTTCTCCTTTTCCCAGGTTTAGGAGACAACCCTTACAAGTCTCACTCCTCTTTCTTGGATGGTTACAAGGTTAAGAGATGAAGGAGGAGAATTCTAAGTTTTACAACACTTTAAGACTCAAGACTTCAAGATTAAGCCAATAGTTTCATGCCCTTTCATGCAGAAAAGGGTGGGATTTTTATAGGCCCCAATAACTTCAAAATTGGAGCAAAAAAGTATCATATCCTCGGAATCTAGGGTACTAGCGGTACCACCGCTGTTACTGGGCGGTACTATAGCCGCTGATATGACCCTTAGCGGTACCACCGCCGAACAGGGGTGGTACCATTGCTCATTCTGGGCGGTACCACCACCCAGGAATCCAGGGGCACTGCTTTCCAGGCGATGCCACCGCCAGTCATGTTTTCAGGGACTGAATTAAATGCTCAATTCGATCAAATTCAGCCCAGTTAGCCCAAAATTAAGTTAGTGGAATTACCTCCTAATCCTAACTTAATTTATGCTATAACTACAATAATTAAGACACAATTTACAGTGCTTCTTATTCCGGTGCGTCAATTACTCTTCCAGCGAGCTTCCGGCGTACTTCCGACGAACATCCGACGAACTCTCGACAATGTTCCGGCAGACTCCTGGCAAGCTCCTGGACTTTATGATAATCTTTTTGGCGAGTTCCGACGAGCTTTTATGGCAAGCTCCTGGACTTCTCAGTTGGTTCCCGCAGAACTTCCGACGAACGTCCGGACTTCCGTCGAACTCTCGAACTCCCAATGAGATCTCGATCTTGACTCCAGCACAACATATGCTTTATGTCTTACTGCCATCGTAGTTAATCCTACACAATTTTCTCAACATATAGATTAGATCAAATAACTTACAATTGACTTTATCATCAAAATCTAAGATTCAACAATCGCTCCATTTTTTATTATGACAATCAATTGATAACGGAGTTAACCTTAACTCCCCCTATCTATATGCCATACTTGAGAAAAGACATTCTTAAATTCAAGGCCTTTGAATTCAAGAAATAAATTGATATGTTAAGTTCATTTAAACTTATCAATACACACATCATGATTCCTATCATGATCTAATATTCTCAAAATGATGTCAAGGCATGACATCCATTTTTAAGTATGATATTTCAAATATGAAAGATGACAAAGATAGCAATTCATCATTCTATGGCAAGATATCAATTGTAAAATAGCAAGTTAAGCTCTAGATATCTTATCAAATTTTATTAAGCAAATATTTCAAATATATATGATAAAATAAATTGCATATATTTGTCATCAATTTACCATATTTTGGTATTATTTCTCCCCATTTGTCATCAATAAAAAGGAGAACAATTCAACAATGCAAGTGTGGTAAAAATTTATGCCACATTTTAATTTGTATACCAATCATATTTCAAGCATTCATGACATGGTATCATTCATAAATTCTCAACATTAAAAGTTATAAACATTAAAGAGATAGCTTCCTTCAACTTCTCCCTTTTTATTTTTCATAAAAACTTTGCATGAAGAAGAAAAGTTAGGAGGAAAATCCATTGAGAACCAACTTTGTGAAATGATTTGAATCAAATCAAAAATGATAAAAGAGTTTCATTAAATCATGCTCCATTTTCACAAGGATCAAAATATTCATGTGAAATCATATCCTCATTCTTGCAAGTGTTCATC